GAAATTGAAATAAAGTAGAAAAACTTACTTTTTGGTATACAAATTACTTTTTTTCATGTTAAATTGTCTGTGTTTGACAAAATGTACTGATTTTTCACATGTGATAGCAGAACTGAATTGGGCATGCACAGGATGAGTCACATCATTTGAAACTTAGCCCTGATTGGAGAAATTGGAAGTGTTACAACTGACCCACGTTACAACTATCCCCGGTCTCCCCTACTGGAGGACAGACCCGTGTAGAACGGTGGGCCTAGCCTGCTGTGCGATGTTTCCACCAGCCGTCCACGCCCTGTAGTTCCCCTTTCGTGGCGTCGTCGCGTTTTCGACTCCGTACACGCCCTCTCTCATCCAGGCATCGGGGCCTCGGTCAAGCTGGTCAGCTCTAGGTTCATTTGGCCGGGCCTTCGTAAATCGGTGAAAGACTGGGCAGCTGCTGTCGTGTTTTTAATAAAACATCAATAGTAGTGAGCAAGCTTCTTTGTTTTAACGTGGCTCACATCCATGCATGTAAAACAACACACCACCTGTTGGTTCAGGTGGTGTGTTGTTGTCATCACACTGTCCTTCCGATGGTCCCATTGTCTTTTGAGTGTACAGTAAACTCCTCCGATTTCTCCTTAATATCAGTCCATCTTCAGTTTTCACATTGTATGTCATTATATTGAAGGATTCCCGCCTCTCAATTTCAAGTTTGGCTATTTGTTCATTTTTCATCTGCAGGACTTTCTCCAGGTGTGTTAGAAAGCTGCTTTGAGGCTTCCTTTGTCTGACTTTCTACTTCCTCTCGTTTTTCTTTTAACTCTTTTACTAGTTTGTTATTGTCCAAGTCCTTTCCCAAAAGAAAATCTGACAGTTCATTATTTTTCATTATCAATGTGCTTTTTTCCATAATGACCCTGTCCTTTTGCTCTTCAAAATCCTCTGCTTTTTTTTGCCATGTTTTAATTTCAGCTTTTAATTTCTCTTCTAGTGCCTCCACTGTTTTAAGTCTGTCACTACATTGAAACAGCGCGCTAGCCTCTACAAGATATTCTGATGTCCTTTTTTCAAAGTTGACCCTCTCTTCTTTGAGCTGGTCCTGGACTCTAAGCTCATTTTTTATCTGTTCTGAAAAAGGAAAATGCTTATTAACTTGTAAAATAAAAACATGATGCATTTAAGGTTATCCTGTTTGGTTTTTGTTTAGGAAGAGAATTTGTTCCACTGTGCGATGGCCGAGTCTGTTTCTTTTCTTGGAGATAATTTCTCCTGCCTTAGAGAAAATCCTCTCACATGGAACAGAAGAGGTTGTAAACTGAAAGCGAAACAACTTAGCTTAGGTGCTCCAACATTCTGAAGAAGCAACTGCTATCCCAATTGGAGATCGATGATGTACAACACAAATGCTATGGCAACGACAGGGCCAGGACATCACGTCAGGGGGGAGATATTATCACCCTCATCCCATATTGGAACCAAGCCCCAAGTACAACTAATTCGATGAAGGTGTTGAGTGCTAGAGAGAGAAGATTGTGGCTAAGCTGCGGCTGATTATCAAGTCTATAACGTTCAACTTTCAAAGTAATCTTTGAAGGACTACTAAAAGATGTGAATGCAGCGTTACAGACAAACTGAAACCAACCAGCTGGTCTAAACCACAGCAGCAGTGATCACTGAGATGCTTTGCTAAAAGATGAACAACCACAAGAAGCAGTGCCCTCCATGGAGAAGGTGGCCAAAATCAGGGCAGTGTGGAGGGAAGTTAGCCCTCCACAGAGCTGCAGAAAGGAGTGTCTAAGAAGTACAGAAGTGGCTTGGAAACTGCCAAGCAAAGAATCACAACCATGGCCAGATGTATACCAGAGAGATAGAAGGCAGGAGAATAAACCAGCTGTACTCCACTGAACCATTCATGGTTCAGTGGAGTACAGCTGGTTTATTACATTATTACATTATTACAGTTCCCTCTCAATGGCAGGGAAACCATATGACAATGGCCCACCAAGGCAACATTTGGTGGAAGCACTGGAAGACCATATGGAAGAAGGATGCAACCTTCTTCATCCTAGTGGAGCTAGGACAGCACCCTCCCTGAACAGGATCCTGTAACTGTCACAATTCAGTTAAGATTAATTCAGTTAAGTTCAGGTAACAAGGAGATGAAATTCAGAAATTTCAAGTTATTATCCAAGTTAAACCAATTTAAACTGGTTTAACTTGGATATGACCACCTGAGTATTCTGTGAAGATGATATTGAAGTCTGGATCTTCTGCTTTTTCCACACTATTTCCACATTATTGCAATCTCTTTATGAAATGGAGCTAGTTACAGTCCACTGGGATTCAATAAAGCAATCAAGTATGGGATATTTGTTTGGACTCTGTTGTTGTCAGGGAATACTGTATCCACAAATGTAAATATTTTAAAACCAAACAGTGAAAAACTGATTGCTTAATGAATTTAAATTCTTGAGTAAATTGCTAAAACTTGCAAGTGATAGGAAAGCCCTTACTTTAGAATAGAATAGAATAGAATAGAATAGAATAGAATAGAATAGAATAGAATAGAATAATCCTTTAATTGTCCCAGAAGGGGAAATTTGGTTGTAACAGCAGCAAGAAAAACACATACTGTATACAAACAAATAGGACACACAGGACACAGAACAGAAGCATACACATTTTTTTTTACATATTTACATCATGGACAATAGTTACCAAAAACAGAGTACTGTACAGTTATTAACATTAAATAAAAATAAATACAGAAGTTGCTTTACCTGGCCATTTTAAATTAATTTGAGACAAGTTCCTGCTTTCTGATAGTTTATAACTTTGTTTTAGCTTCTTAAACACACAGTTTTTACACATGATTTTTATTTGATGAATACTCTAAGTTTCTTGCCTGTTTCTTGTGCTATTGTTCATGAATAAAGTTTTTTGTAAAAAACAAAACAAAACAAACAAAAACAAAACAAAAAAACAAAAAAACCTTCCTGTGCTGTGGCTGTGGATGTGCTCTGGTGCACTCACAGCAACACCTCAGGTCAAAGGCAGTACTACGAGTTTGATGGCGTAAAAAAATGGAAGCATAACCTACAGTTGACTCGTTGAGAAGTGTGGAGAAACCTCTGTAGAAATACAACTGTGGGCATGATTATGGATATTTTGTGAGTAACTTGTCACACAGTAGTGCGCACTGGACACAGCTTACTACTAAACAAAACAATAACTAGGGGTTTTAACAATCTAACGTTGAAACTAGTGCAATTTAACGGCGAATATTATTATAATTTCATATTTTCCCTCTTACTTTGTGTGCTGCTTGTCACGTGATCGGAGCGTCTGCAAAGCCAGTTTTTTTTCCTTGAAAATGAAAGTGAAAGTATCCGGAGAAACTTCGAGTGGCAACCGAACTAAAGGGGATTTTCTGCGGGGTCACCAATGAAGAATCATGGGTTTAATCTTAAATATCCTTATTTACTTGTATCTAAGTGCAGGTGAGTTATTGTGCAAGGCTTTGTCACCGCGTTTTTAGAGCTAGTGTGGACGCTACACTCGACTGCATGAATGGAATCATATGCTTAATGATGATTTTGTGCATATGTCTGTGTGATTTAGGTGTGTGGAGTATCCAGAACCCGTGGCTGCCCTGTCAGTTCACTGACGAACATGTGTTTACTAATAATGAGGGGCACACTGAGACTCGACTCATCCACAGAGAGGCTATGCTGCAATTTGGTCAGAAAGAAGATGCTCCTGTTAACCCAAACGCCATCACTTTATTAATCACTGGTGAGTTACTGCAGGCTGCATGAGGAGAAGGCTGAAAGACATTTGATTTGACTGCATGTGTCCTATTCTAGGATCAAAGTTGGACCTGAGGCGGTATGTGGAGGGGGTGGAGGAAGAGCAGCTGGAGTGTGAGCTACGCAGATACAGCACAGAGGGCATTTATGTCCGCTGGCCTGTCATGGGCGCCCTAGAGTACAACCGCTGGTTCCTCTGTACCCTCAGACACAGCAGGGGCCTCTTTACAGTCACTGGTTTCCTCAGGCACCCCTCTGACCAGCCTCCCCCAGGAGAGCAGGACTACCGCAAATGGCCCCCCATCCCTGACAGAGAGGTTCTCACCACCACAGGTAAACTCACCATATGAGGATTTCAGAATCAGAAAAATATATCTATCATATGATACTTATTGTTGATGATGCATGTGTAGTTATGGGACATGGTGGGCCACTTGTTTTGAGAAATTTGTGCAGACAGTCACCAGATCTGTTTCCACAGTCGCCATGGTCATCAAAACAAAGACTCCTTCAGTGAAAGCAGGCCTGATGTCCCAGCAAAAGCTCCACTGCCAGTTTGACGTTGACCACAAGGGTGCCAACATCACTGTGGAGTGGCACTGGCAGCACCGGGGAGAGAGGAATAAACTCTTCAGCTACACCAGCCGCACCGGGCACACCCAGGGGAGCGGCGTTGGGCTGAAGGCTCTGGCGACTGGCGATGCCACCTACACCCTCCCCCTGTCTAAGATGAGCAGTGAAGGGACCTACATTTGTTCAGTGTCAGTGAATCCACTGTTTGGCAGTGTGGACATAAATCTGCACATCGAAGGTGAGGAAATCAGATGACACAAAGTACTAATACTAATTCTGCCTGTTACATTAGTTAAACTGAAAAATGGATTATAAAGGGGACTGATTCTGTTTTGTTTTTTTAGTTTTTCTGTCATACTGTTCCATATTAAACATGGTCAGATTTTCAGATTTTCATAACAAGTATCCATATCTAGACTTTAAACAGTTTTTCTACTTTTAGATCTGTATGAAGTCAGTGAGAGTGGATATCCCTAATGTGGTTGTAAGGAGAGAAGCCCAACCCATCCACTGTTTTAATCTTTTGTTCATAAGGTCCAACCAATCAGAAGAAACTTGGTGTAAAGGGGGAGGAGTTAGCGCTGAAGAGCAATTTCAAGACCCAGTTAAATCAAGATTATTTTGAACTGTGCATCATTTAAAGCTGCTCTACTGTACAGCAAGAATGAAACAAATGGGGCTGGAAATTAGTTTAATGGGTTCCCTTTAGTTAGGGATAATGGGCACTTGAATGGACAGTGGACCCTGAGAACTTTTAATGAGCCTCAGCTGAGATTTCATCTACTTTCATTTCATGCTCTTCACAGCTGACACCACCAGCTCCTTTCAGTGCTTCATGCTCAGGCAGCATATTACCTGCCCTTCTAGGTCCTGACTTCATCCAAACATTGCCTAGCGTTGTTTGACATAAGGTCAGCTAGGCAAAGACTCTAATCGGCCACTGGAAATGTGAAGAAGAGCTTTGAAGAAGAAGTTTTAAAAAATACAGTTAAAACTGTATTTTTATAAATGTTATAGTTGTCCTGCTGATAAATGGTAAATGGCCTGCATTTGTATAGCGCTTTTCTAGTCCTAAGGACCCCAAAGCGCTTTACACTACATTCAGTCATTCACCCATTCACACACTGGTGATAGCAAGCTACATTGTAGCCACAGCTGCCCTGGGGCGCACTGACAGAGAACAGCTGCCGGACACAGTCTCTGACCACCACCAGTAGGCAAACATGGGGTTAGTATCTTGCCCAAGGATATTTGGCATGCAGCCAGGAGGCAGCCTGGGATCGAACCACTGACCTTCTGATTAGTGGCTGACCTGCTCTGCGAGAACTCCCCCATGGCCATTCATGCTACAACAATAAAATAGCAAATAAACAATTAAATGACAGAAAAGTTACTGTATTTTTACTGTCTGCTCTAGAAATGTCAGCTTTTTTAAAAAACAAAACAATGCTTCTAGAGTAAAATAAATAATAAAAATAGGAAATTTAACTTTCTGCCTTATAATTATAGGGCACTACAGGTAAGGAGCTACCAGAGTTTTCTGTAATGTTACACTTTAAAAAAAAAAAACTTAAGCCAAAAAAGTTGCGCTAACAGATTAATGTAGTTTATTACAGGAGTATGTTGTATGTCTCATGTAGAACAACAGAGATGTATTGTTGAAATTAGTTAAACTCATTTACACTGATAGAAATGGTAATTTAACTGGTCCAGCTCGCTTAAGATCAAAGTGGGCCCTATGTGGCTCAGTAAGTTGTGTCTTACTGTCAACTTTTACAAATATTCAGAAATTTCAAATGTCTCCAATTCAAATGATCATCAGGGATCACAAACACTTTTCCTTATGACGGCCCTATGACAGCTATCCAGCCCCCCAGTTTATCCTTCATTGCTCCTTCACAGAGACCACACCTCTTGGCTACTACAACATATAATCACTGAGTTATTCTTCTCTAACTCCAACTGAGTTACACATTGTTCTCATTCATTTGTTATATTGTTAGCTTGAAATTAAAGCAGTGGCTTCCTGTGTCAGTTATATTCACAGCAACAGTCAGTTCAAGCTGCACTTGGTGACAGTGGGGAGGAAGAACTCCCTTTTAACAGGAAGAATCCTCCTGCAGAACCAGGCTCAGGGAGGGGCGGCCATTTGCTGCAACCGGTTGGGGTGAGGGAAGGAAGACAGGATAGACAACATGCTGTGGAAGAGAGACAGAGATTAATAACAATTATCCATCCATCCCTCCATGATGGTTAATGAAATTCACGTGTGATTTTTTTAATGTTTCCATCACTTAGAACACAGAAGCTGTGGATTCATACATTTGGGATAACTTTTTACATTTTCCATTCTTTCTCTCCTAAGAGCCTCCTCGTGTCTCCCTCAATGTGGGACCCACCTTCTCACTGCAGGAGGGCCAGGAGCAGAAAGTTGTGTGTGAGGCAAACAGCTATTACCCCTTGGATGTGGAGATAGTTTGGTACGAGCAGGACCCGGCAGCGTCAGGCCAGAGGGTTGGTGCTCCTCTGCCCAAGGTACTGGATAACATCCTACTGTCCAGCCACAAACATAACCAGGACAGGACCTACTCGCTGTCAGCTTTCTTCTACCTCAAGGCTTCGCTCAGGCAGTCTGGCAAACAGTTTACTTGCAGTGTCTCTCATCACTCCCTGAAAGTGCCCATCAAAAAGAGCTTCATTCTGAATGTGGAAGGTGAGAGACGTCTCAGTGTAATACTGTAAACTATCAGTAGGGAGCAGCAGAGTCTCATGTGTGTTATCTGTTTCAGAGCCAGGGAGCTGGATGTTTAACATTGTTCTTGGTTTGATTGTGATCCTGTTGGTCATCCTGTTTGTAATGCTGCGCTACCTGCACTCAGGTGAGTGATATAAACAGGCCGCAAACCCACCAGCGCTTCCTGGAAACATATACAGCTTACATGTGTTAGCTGTTTGTGGAGATACATGAGGTGTTGATGTCCTAAAGAGTAATTCTCATTTATTTTCTCCACAGTAAGGAAAAGGGCAGTAGAGGTAAGATTATATTATTTAAAAAATGCATTTGATGTAATGACACCAGTCACAATGATATTTAATTACCTTTGTTTTCAATGATGTGTGTGTTTTTGTGCCTGTCACGAGCAGAAGAAGCCATACTGAGCAGCGCTGATGGCCTGAGCAGAGCATCACACCCATCAGTGAGAACAGCAGCACCCCCCCATCTTTTTTTTTTTAATTTTAGAAATGCTGAAATGCTTGATTTTAGTTTTTAGGTGTATTTGGGTTTCTGTGAAACTGATTGTTTTTGTGTTGCACTGATTTAAGTTTAATTTCATGGACTCTGAAAGTCTGATTGTTTTGTAGTAAAATATGGTTTCTTTGGCCAAGAGTAAACCATGTCCATACAACCTAAGTCCGCCCTAATAGACATGCCTGCTGTGCATTTCCTCCTATTTGTAATTAACTGGGTTTGCTTCGGTATCAGTGTGTTCTTGTGTTTATTAGAATCCTGAGAGAGTCCTATTCATTTTCCTGTTTTCTTCTTACTATAATATTAATCTAAATGCCTTTTCTTTTACCCCAGGAACAACAAATTAGCAGGACAGCACTGCTGCTAGGCAATGGCTATATTCACATGTTTATTCATGTGAATCATCATCCACTAAGAGACACCTTAAGCCTATTATTATCAGGCTTAAAGTTGTTTGGCGCAACCCACAGACTGTATGTAAAAGATGGATGTAGCCACAGTGATCTCACCCAGTAGTTTCTGGATTCCTCACTTTGAAGGTTAAGCCTTGGGATTTTGGACGATACCAGGCTGTCTTTTAGGAGCAGTAAGAGACAATATTTGATGATGGGGGTAGATTGTAGATATTAGCTAGCTAACTTGGTTAGCAAGCAATATTCATTAAATTAAGTATCTGCTAAATGGGGGCTTCAGTTCTGGAGAGTGAAATTCCAGTATTTTTACAAACTTTTTGAACATGCCAAACTACACAGCAGGTTATATTATTTGTCGGACAATTATATTACAAATATAACATCCCTAACTTAAACCTTACTTGTGTCCAAATAGATGAGTTATAGAAAAATATGACACATTACATGACATTAAGAGAAGGAAAGGTCAAAACTATCCATAGAGGAGACTTTCCTATACCAGTCTGTAAACATGCTTTTTAACATGGAAATCTATGGGGGTTGATTTGTTTTTTTTAGCAAACCTTAATTGGCCAATAGTGGAACTGCAGCTTTTTTATTTTTTTATATTTTTTACTCTTGAAGGACTGTTGCTTGGTCTGAACTGCTTTTTAGAGACTGGTCTTAACGAAACCCATTTTATCAATTGGGATCAGGGGTGGTAAAGAACAGCTGGAGCAACCACTCAATGTTCATAATGCAGCAATCACATTTTGAAGGTGCCTTGTGGTGTAGACCACTTAAAGTGCTGCAGAGAAAGGTTTTCTGAACAAATTTGAACACGTTCATGATCTTCAGGTGTGTTTTTTTTTTTCAAACAAACAAATCAAATCCATGCTCCAATAAAGAAATGAAAATGTTTTGTTCGATTTTGTGGAATTACAGAATAGTTTTGATTAAAAACACTGAAGATAACTGGAGTGTTTGTTATTTACAAGAAAAGTGTACCAGGCACTTGGAATAACTGCGTATCTGTAGCGATTCTACTGCTGAAAACCTGTTGAATAATGGGAATAAATGAGAATGACGACCACTAACTTAATAGCTTATGGAGTTTATATTATGAAACATGTTTGCACCATCTTGGCAGCACATGGTTAAATAATAAAATGTTTTGGAATTAAAATGTATTTTCTGAATATTTTGGACTTGGAGCACTCACTAACTCAACAATGAGACTGTTTCATCAGATTCCTCAGGTTGATGTGTGCTGCTGAATGCTAAATAGTTGCTGCAGTCTTGTAATGCAAATAGACAGTTTTTCAATTTTCTATGTTGGCTTTCTTACTTGTTCAATCATAGTTTATGAAAACCAGATTAACTCTGTTGCAGAAAACAATTTTTACATTTGTTTTTGCATCATTTTGCAGCTGGGACTTTTCGATTGAACCCAAATGTATTCTTAAAAATGTAATTAAACACATTTTAAAAGAATTTTTAAAAGAAAGAACAAGAGAGGGCAATTGCTAAATTCTTTTGTGGGAAAATCTAACTTTTGCTTATTTATGTGATTGTTTTGTAGATGCGTTTCAATGTTCCTCTCATACTTACCTTACAGATCTTATAGCATTGCTTTAGAAAAGTTGTCTTCATGTTTATTTAAAAAAAAAAACAACTTTACTATTAATGTCTAAGTTCCTCTGCTTTTCAGTTGTATGAGCAGAATGTTGTATGTGTGAAATGAGAATTGACTTTTTATTTGCAGTGTAACATATTGTTGACTTAAACACACACGTGCCACATCCCAACTTGTGACATGAATCTCCTGCTTTCATCTTGCTCATGGGAGCCCAATTAGGGTCTCTGAGCCCTTCCTTTATAAAATACATGACTTGTGCATTAATTTTTGAAACCAAGCACACCATTGTTTTTCTTGTGACATTACCAATAAGTTTGATGTGTCACATGGCCCTCTTCCTATTGAAAAAACAAAAGTTGTATCCAAGATGGCTGACTTCTAAATGGCCACCATGGTCACCACCCATCTTGAGGAGTTTGCTCCCTCACATATACTAATGT